TAATAAACACCTTAAATTAAATCTATAACAACTAAGCATAAACAGTAGAGTTTCTCTTGACCTTTCTTGCTATAGCTAATGAGTTTTAGAAACACAGCTATAGCAGTCAGAGAAACATTATAGTATAAGAGTAAAGCTTCAAGAGCTCAAATAAGCAGCCTCTGATCTCTATGATGGTGAGGTCAAATGAAATATTTTTATTAAAAAAATATAACCTCTGTTCATTGTCAAATATTCTTACAGAAATGAAGTCAAACTGTAATCAGTGAAGCTGCATATGCCATTATTTAATGGAGTTGTTTAATCCTCTGTTTTAATTCAGCTGGTTTGGTGTGAGGCTGTGTCTGTAGTTTTATTTCTTCCTTCAATTTCTTATTCCTTCAGTGATTGTGCTTGTTAACAGCAGGTGTTCAACAGCAGGTGTCCGAATTCACTTATTTGTGGTCATTCCCTCTGTCTAGTGGACTAAACTAATTGACTAATTTAAGGGCCAGGTGAATGAGGGTGTAGGGTGAGATCAGACACTGATTAGTTTCTCAAATACAAGGGTTTTCTACAAAGGTAGATACATGTTACTCTGTATGACAAGGAGGCAAATCAGCTTCTAACGCCGAGAGGGTTATTTTACCTTTATCTAACTCTAGAATTTTAACACTTTACTCTGAATTACCACAACACTTGAAATTTAACACCAATGAATTTGCTGTGTAGCTTTTGTAGGTCACACTGGATTGTGCTGCACAGCCAACTTAAAAGGAACTGCATCAAAGGCAACCCAGGTGGCACATACTAAAAATAACAAGAACAAAAAGTATTTATAAAAAAGTAAGATTTTTTTTTGCACTGCAGGGTCTTTTTTCAGGGCTCGTTGGTCAAGGGGTATGATTCTTGCTTAGGATGCGAGAGGTCCTGGGTTCAATCCCCGGACGAGCCCTACAGCTGTCACAGAAAAAGCAGTGGAACTTTGGCATTTCTACATTAATTGTAGCACCTTTTGCTGTGACTTTAGGTAATGAAGATTTAGTGGACTTCTAATTTAAATTAGTTTAACATGTACAATTATACAGACAAAACCGTCTGCTACCCTCAGGCAAATGCTTCCGCAGCATCTGGTCACGCACCAGCCGGCTAAAGGAAAGTTTCTTTCCTCAGACTATCAGGCTGATGAACACTTAATACACAACACACAGACTCTTCCATACTCTCACTGCACACCATCGATATGTAGCATGCACTGAACTTTAGCCAATCCATACTTGAAACAACACTGCCTACAACTATGTGGACACCTATTCATTGTACATATCGCTGTCAATTTCACATTGTCATTTCATTTGTCTGTTATTTGTACTGTCGTTGTATTTGCACTGTCATTTTTTTGCACTATCTGTATTTTTTACTGTTTGTACAGATAATTTTTCATGATTTTTGGTGAATTTTTCATGGTTTTTGGTGATTTTTCAAGATTTTTTCATGATTTTTCAAGATTTTTTCATGATTTTTCGTGATTTTTCAAGTTTTTCATTTTTCATGATTTTTCGTGATTTTTCGTGATTTTTCAAGATTTTTCGTGATTTTTCATGATTTTTTCATTTTTCATGATTTTTCAAAAATTTTCCATTTTTCGTGATTTTTTGTTATTTTAAAAAAAAAATTTTCGTGACTTTTGTGATTTTTCAAAAAATTTGATTTTTTTGTAATTTTTCAAAAAATTGTCATTTTTTTGTGATTTTTCAAAAAAATGTTTTTATTTTCCAAAAAATTTCATTTTTTGCGATTTTCCAAAAAAAAAATCATTTTTTGTGATTTTTTGTGATTTTTCAAAAAATTTCTATTTTTTTGTGATTTTTAAAATTTTTTTCATTTTTTGTGATTTTTCAAAAAAAATATTTTTTTTATTTTTCAAAAAAAATAAATTTTTTATGATTTTTCCAAAAATTTTTCATTTTTTGTGATTTTTTGCGATTTTTCAAAAAAAATTTTTTGCGATTTTTCAAATTTTTTTCATTTTTTGTGATTTTTGTGATTTTTCAAAAAAGTTTCATTTTTTGTGATTTTTTGTTATTTTTCAAAAAATTTTCATTTTTTGTTAATTTTCAAAAAGTTTTGTAATTTTTCAAAAAATTTTCATTTTTTGTGATTTTTTGTGATTTTTCAAAAAATTTTCTTTTTTGCGATTTTTCAAAAAATTTTCATTTTTTGTGATTTTTTGCGAATTTTTAAAAAAATTTGAAAATTTCGATTTTTTGTTATTTTTCCAAAAATTTTGAGTTTTTGTTATTTTTCCAAAAATTTTCATTTTTTGTTATTTTTCCAAAAATTTTCATTTTTTGTTATTTTTCAAAAAAAATCGATTTTTTGTTATTTTTCAAAAAAATTTCATTTTTTGTTATTTTTCCAAAAAATTTCATTTTTTGTTATTTTTCCAAAATTTTTCATTTTTTGTTATTTTTCAAAAAAATTCATTTTTTGTTTTAATGCAATTTTTCAAAAAATTTGCATTTTTTTAATTTTTCAAAAAATTGTCATTTTTTGTGATTTTTCAAAAAATTTTCATTTTTTTGTTTTTATGCAATTTTTCAAAAAAAAATTCTTTTTTTGTTTTTTGCGATTTTTCAAAAAATGTTCACTTTTTGCGATTTTTCAAAAAAATGTGATTTTTTGTGATTTTTCCAAAAATTTCGATTTTTTTGTTATTTTTAAAAAAAATTTCATTTTTTGTTTTTATGCAATTTTTCAAAAAAAATCTTTTTTTGTGTTTTTTTGCGATTTTTCAAAAAATGTTCAATTTTTGCGATTTTTAAAAAAAAATTCATTTTTTGTGATTTTTTGCGATTTTTCAAAAAATGTTCATTTTTTGCGATTTTTCAAAAAAAAATCATTTTTTTGTGATTTTTTGCGATTTTTCAAAAAATGTTCATTTTTTGCGATTTTTCAAAAAATGTTCATTTTTTGTGATTTTTCCAAAAATTTCGTTTTTTTGTTATTTTTCAAAAAATTTTCATTTTTGTTATTTTTCCAAAAATTTTCATTTTTTGTTATTTTTCAAAAAATTTTCATTTTTTGTTATTTTTCAAAAAGTTTTCATTTTTTGTTATTTTTCGTGATTTTTCAAATTTTTTAATTTTTCATGATTTTTCAAGATTTTTTTCATTTTTCGTGATTTTTCAAGATTTTTTCATCTTCATTTTTCATGATTTTTTTTTCATTTTTCATGATTTTTCATGTTTTTTAAGATTTTTTAATTTTTCATGATTTTCGTGAGTTTTTCAGCAATTTTAAAGATTTTCATTTTTCATTATTTTTCTTGAATTTCAAGATTTTTTCATTTTTCATGATTTTCATGAGTTTTCAAGATTTTTCGAGATTTCTTCATTTTTCGTGATTTTTTTTAGATTTTTTGTGCTTTTTCAAGATTTTATGATTTTTCGTGATTTTTCTTGATCTTTCAAGATTTTTTCATTTTCATTTTCGTTCCCGCAGTACATTCTCAGCAAAGAGATAGGCTTTATTATTATTTTTAATTACTTTATTAAAAAAAATATATCATGCTGGCAACATTTCATGCAAACTACAACTTGTAACTCACAGAAACCCCCAAAGGACAGGCCTCTTTCTGCAGTGGTGGCCAGCTCCAGCTCATCGGGTTCTAGAGGTGACGGTGGATGAGCAGATGATGCACTACTTGTGAAAAACCCTCAATGCTTTTGAAGCACAAGGTGCACAGCAAATTCATTGGCGTTCAATTTTTAAGTGTTGTGGTAATTCAGAGAGAAGTGTTAAAATTCTAGAGTTATATAAAGTGTCATACACTAAAGCTCCAGCAGATCTTTATGACACACAGACATCAAGAATCAGGATATGAACCTCAACCATGGTTGCTCAAAAGAAAAAAGCTGCATAGTTCATGCTGGGTGCCAGCATAGTACAAAACTCCCAGCATGCATTGCATCATAAATAAATTATGCAGCTTTATGTTGTTACAATCTATTTCTTTTCATTTATTTTGTGTTGTGTTTGGGAGGTAATATTTCAGTAGTTTTTTTAATTGATTTTTATTTTTTTGTTTGTCACCATTATTGAGATTCAAAGACTAATTGTTGATGTCTGTGTGTTTTTAAGTGCTGCCATAGATCAAACATTCACATTGTAAATCATGCTTTAAAGTCATTAATTGTTAAAGCTTCAGTGGTTTCATTTATGTATTTTATTTATTTCACACACATAACTAATATGACACTGAATTAGAAAACAAGCAGGAGAAGATGGCTTTGATATCAAAGTTAATCTCTTCAGACTGACTCTTACATTTTCTTTTGAATTTTACATGTAAGATTATTGTGATTAGCACTAATAATTATAGCATCCAAATAAAAAAAATTTTATAGCAAGAAGTTGAAGAGCCCTACTAAAGCAGACTCTGTCCTCCATCATGGTGACTTCAAATGAACAACAGAAATTTCATAAAGAGCTTTTGTTCACATGACAGAATTAAAGCCAAAGCTCAGTAATAAGTGAAGCTCCATGATGAGTTGTTTAATGTCATGAGTTGTTTTAAAGATGTTGAAAATAAAAATAAATTTTATTGTGTAATTTGTTTATTTTTTTATTAATTATTATTTTATTTAAAGTTTTATTCTCAGTTGATTTCATCTTTGGTTTTGGCTACTGCTGCCAGTATTTTTAAATATACATTTTACATATATTTTACACAATAAGAGTTTGCTAATTAACACTCTCTGAGTGGTAAAATTTTTTAACACTTTCAAAAGTGTTATTTTAACACTTTTATAGTGGTTCCCATATAAACACTGAGGGAGTGTTAATTTGAACTCTAAGGTAGTTAAATCTACAATCTAAAATTTGCAGTGTGTATAACCCTTTATTATTGTCTTTAATTGTTTATGTACCATAGCATAATCAATGAAACACACATCAAAACACTGTGCTGATGAGATTGTCTTCTTGCTGCTTTGACACTGACTTTTGCCTATCTTGTGTTTTTTTTGTCCTTCTTTAGCAGTTGAGGACAAAGGCGGTCTGCCGAAGAAACCACTCAGCTCCTCTGAAAGACAAGGTATATCACATAATGAATGTCACTTATTAACATTTATTCATACTGTTGCAGCATGAACTACAGTTGAGGGCGCTCCTGTGAAATATTTATTTAAGCTAATGGAGCAAGGACATTTTCACAGTACTTACGATAGTATATTATCTTCTGAAGAAAGTTTTTATTGTTTTATTATTTATGTTTTTCTATTGGCTACACAACAAACAGTGTTAAGCTAGTTAAGCCTTTACTTTCTCAATCTGAATATGGTAGCACTTCAGTATAATAGTCCTTTAGTTAATCAATTTACTAACACTAAGTGTCACCAATCTTGTGCAGCATTTATTAATTACAGTTCAACATTAATGCATTATTAAAATCCAAAGTTGTGCTTGTTGACATTACTTAATGCACAGTGCATTAATGAACTAACGTTATTTAACTTAAACATAAAAAATAATTAATGTATTAAACTTCTAAGTCATGTCAGTAAATGCATTAACTAATATTAACTAATGAACTATTACTCTAAAGTGTTACCTTAAAGGGTGACACTTTACAATAAGTTTGTATTAGTTAATGTCAAAGCATTTACTACCATAAACAAGCAATGAACAATACACTTAATACAGTATTTGTTCGTATTACAGTCATCCATGCCAACTCACAGTCCATCAACTAAGCATTAAATATTATTTTAATAAAGCATTAGTACATGTTGAACTATGATTAAAAATGCTGTACAAGCATTGTTCATAATTAGTTCATGTTAGTAAATACATTATCTAATGAAACCTTATTGTAAAGTGTGACCCAATATTATGTTCTGTCATCATGGCAAAGATAAATTATAAGAAATTAAGTTATTAGAACTATTATGTTTAGAAATGTGCCTGAACAAGTCCTCTCTCCATTACACATAAATTGTGAAAAATAAAGTCCAAAATTTAACAGGGGGGCTTATAATTCCGGCTTCAACTGTATGCATTAATAAATAAAATTCATCACACTAAGACACTGTGTTCTGATAATCACAACTCTGCTCATTTAGGAGCCGAGGAAGCAAAGAGAAGAAAACGTTCCTGTGCAGATCTTTCACAGAAGCCCCACTCAGACTCTCCACTGTCTGCTGTAAGTTCATCGTTTGTACATCACAATTAGGTGGTGTATATACTCCTGAATACAGTTTTGTGAGCATAGATGGGGAGACTGTGCAAAAAGTATGATTATGTCAATGAAAAAGGTTTTAACTATTATACTTACTTTGTTGAAGGCTCCTGCATCGACTTCTTTATTGGAGGCTCCTGCATCAGCCTCATCAGTTCCTGGCCAGTCTTCTTCATCGGCTCCTGCGTCAGCCTCATCAGTTCCTTGCCAGTCTTCTTCATCGGCTCCTGCGTCAGCCTCATCAGTTCCTTGCCAGTCTTTTTCATCGCTCCTGCATCAGCCTCGTCAGTTTTTGCCTCGGCTTCTTCATCGGCTCCTGCATCAGCCTCATCAGTTTTTGCCTCGGCTTCTTCATCAGCTCCTGTATCAGCCTCATCAGTTCCTGCCTTGGCTTCTTCATCGGCTCCTGTATCAGCCTCAGCAGTTCCTGCCTTGTCTTCTTCATCAGCTCCTGTATCAGCCTCATCAGTTCTTGCCTTGGCTTCTTCTGACGTTCAACCTAGAAGGTCATCTGGTGGGTCAACACACAGTGACCCAGCACATTCTGAGGTAACTGTCAAAGTACTCTGTGGATGTTAAGATAAGAAAAATGTATACTTTAATACTAAAAAAAAATCAACTTTAACTGATTTTAACACAGTTTTGTCTCGGTTATTCTAATTACCAGGTGTCATTTGAGGGTTGGCACAAGATGTGGGAGTCTGGACATACTGAGGCTGAAGGAGGATACTGAAAGGGGACTCTTTCAGAGGGCCATGTCTTATAAAGACAAATATGGAAACAGAAAGTGGAGGAAAGTCCTGAAGGATGACCGGATGTGGTTTCACCCTCCAGAATTTCCTGGAATGGTGGAAGGAAAAGTCCCCTCAGCAGACTTTCGCAGCTCATCGCCTAAACCAAAGGTGCCAGGAGCTATTTGGGGAGGTGGAGGAGGCAAACTACAGGCCTCCGGTTCCTGCTGGTGATGAGCGCATTGGTCTGGAGTACCTGTTTTCCCAGTCCTCAGAGCCCTTCAGTGCTCCTGATCATTACGCTCAGACTAGAGAGACACTTCAGGCAGATGAGGATGAGGACGAAGATGTTCCTGCTGGGGTGGCAGAGGAAGAGCCGCAGGAGGAAGATGATGATGTGGGCTACTCCTCAGACCGCGAGAGGGACAGCCTGACTCCTCTGAGGAACTGTCTGTGCCTCACCGATCAGGCAGTGGCTGCTGAATTTGACCCCTGTGTGGAGGACGTGTGCGGTCCCAATCATCTGCCTGGGTACCAGCACGTAGAGGATCTGTGTAAAGTCCTTGTTGAGATCGCCCTGGAGGAAGGAAAACTTGCCCTAAATGAGTCGACCAGGCAAAAGGTCATCAGCGCCTGGAACAAGCTTGACCTCCATGACCGCAGCATCCAACAATTCGACAGCCTCTACTCTTCACGCTGGGGCAATGCTCTGTTTGGCCGCACCAGTGGAGATCCAACTGAGGCGTCCCTGGTGCAGAAGCTCAAGTTCAGCCAGCGCTACTCAGCCGCACACTTGGTGGACTCCAGAAAGAACCAGCTGATGTACTGCCTGGTCAAACAGCTGTGGCTTCATCCTGGTGTTGGAGGAAAAGCTAAAGGGTCACCGCTGAAACAGCAGATCACTAAACTGTACCAGCGTGTGCAGCAGAGAGTGACGGTGGACGATGATCAGCTCAGCAAACTCGGGATTCCCATCCTGAAAATAAATTCAAAGTGCGTGAGCGAGTTCATCAGGAGGCAGGAGGCGCTGTCAGCCACAAACGTCACCGACCAGGGTCTGTCTGTCCTCCGTCGTCACCAGAGCGTCTCCAGCACCAGCCAGCCCCCCGCTGAGGAGCTTCAAGAGGAAAGACCCCATACCAGCCGGCCTGCAGTGCAGTATCCCATCACCACTTCTCTGGCCGGCACCCGAAAGTTGAAGCAAAGGCTCCCGCAAATCTTACCTGTCCCTCCCTCTGCTCTTGCTCAACCAGTTCCTGCGCCAGCCCATTCAATGCCCGCAGGACTCCGGCACACACACACTCCGCTGACTGCACCTCCCGCTGTTTCCTTGCCGCAGGCATCCACTCTGCCACTTTTGCCCTCAAGATCAACAGTCTACAAGAGGAAAAAGGCAGAACTCAGTGGCTCTGGACATCCAACCTCAGTGAAGGTTTACATCTGTGCTCTGTGTGGCCAACCAACTCAAGGCCACAAGAAATACAGAAAGAAGAGCTCCTGTGAGAGCTCCAAAGCCTCCACGTCCACAAACCTTGCTGGGCAGACTTTGACTGTTTTGAAGACTTTAAAAGGGCTGTGGACGTTCTCTTGGGCTCTCAGTCTCAGGCCTCCGAGTCTGTCTAACTGGACCTCTATCCATGTTATTGTTGCAAAAATGTATAAGTTATTATAACAGTTGGTTGTTTGAGAGTTTACAGTGTTTTACACTAATTTGTTAATTTTTGCAACACTGTTATTGATGCATAAATGTTATATTAACATTTATTTGTTTTAAAGTTTACAGTTTTTTACAGTTTGCACTAATTTGTTCATTGTTGTTACACTTATTGTTGCACAAATGTATGTAATATTACCAGTTGATTGTTTCAGAGTATACATCGTTTTAAACTGATTTGTAGATTGTAATTTATTGTTGCAAAAATGCAACCGTTTACAGTTTGCACTAATTTGTTGATTGTTGTTATTGTTGCAGAAATGAATGTTATATTAACATTTGTTTAAGTTTACAGTGTTTTACACTAATTTGTTGATTTTTGTAACACTGTTTTGTTGCAGAAATGTATGTTATATTGTTTTACAGTTTACAGTATTTCGTTGATTGTTTTCTTGTTTTTTTATTTATGTTTAATAATTATATAATATTAGGTTAAAGTATTTTAATAACTAATTACTAATGTTGCTTTTTATACTTTAATTGTTAGCTTTGTTTTTTTAAAGGAACTTTTTTTTTAATATCTGAATGCTTGACCTGGCAGCAATTTTTTGTTAATATATACAAATATATTCTTATATCTATAACTGCTATCAATAATATTATAATTAATTATAGTGATAGTAATGTGTTTTTATTTATTATGTACAAAGCATATCTATTGTATACATTTTTATGTCAGGCAGGTCTAACAATATGTTTAGAACTTTTCTTTTGCACTTTTAATAAATTTGGATAATAAAATACAACCTCGTGTTTGTTTTTGTATTTGTGGGAATGACTTCATTAGTTTTTAAAAATTGCCTAAATCATTTGAATTTAATTTAGAATAATATTATCTAACTCTATGACAATAATATGCAGTCCATTTTAATAGTAATCTCTGGTACAGGTGTTCTGAAATGTCTATTGCTCCTCTGTGTTTTTCCAAGTCCAGCTCTGGAGTCGAAGACAGCTTATCCTGTTGCCGCCAGATGGGATGCCACTGGATTCATCCTTAAACCACACTTTAACATCAAGCTTCACCTGCAACATACAAATACCACTTGGTTAATATGGTGTAAAAAAAAAAAACAGTACATTAATCAAATATCCTATGACATTACACTCTCAAAATAGAAATGTTGTAATTTGTTACAAAGTAGTTAGTTACTATAATTAAAATACTCACCCAGTGACAAAGGGATTATTGTTCATTTTATGTAATTGTATCACTGCTATTAGAAATATGATGGTATATCTGTATAATATAATAGAACAGAAGCTAAATATTTGCATTTTTTTGTTATACAAACATATTTAAGAATAATTCTACTAAACATTATGCATTTAAAAAAAGTTTGACCTTTAATTACTACTATTAATTATATTACATATGAATATTTTATTTATAGAACTGATATAACATATTAATTTATATATTACATTTGTTGAGGTTTATGAGGATTTTGACGGAACTTATTAAATTTTAATAACAAACTTATTAAATGATCATTTCATAGTTTACTTTTGTGCACAGTTAGAGTTGTTTGCTTTAATTTCAAAAGCACCACACCATATAGAACGTGTTCTGACAGTTACAACTATTTGTTTTGATGACATCACCAGGGGGTTGTTCACTCGTAAAAGCAATTCATTCATGGTTTGTTGAAACTCAATCAACCAATCAGGTGCTGTAATTGCCTACACATCTATAGTTAAATTTGCACGCCGTACAGGTCAATCGCCGTTCGCAGGGGTCAGTGTGGCCGGAGTGCAATGGCCAAGCCTCGCCCTGGGTGAACCACCTTCTTGATCATGGTATCTCCCCTGCCAGGTAAGTACGAGTTGCCGGGCGGCGCAAATGGCAGCCGCCGTTTTCTATCGGCCGTACTCCAGGGCGGTGATGCCCAGCCACCGAGCATGGGGAATGGGCCAGCAACCCCTGTCTCCTGACGGCGCTGTACTTGCAGCAGACGTGCCTGTGCCTGCAAACCACTCGCTAGTAACTGTGGCAACGCATGAAGAGTTTGAGCTTCCTCCAGATGCTTGCTTTGTGTTTTGTCATCAGTTGGGGCTGCCAACACATGGATTCCACCGGACGCACTCGATCTGGGGATAACAGACCCTCTATGGGGGGAGGGGAGGGGATCCTCCTGTTCTTTCTTTCTTTTCCTCCATCTGTTTTCTTTCTCTACAGATGCTGTTTTTCTCTGCTTAGTTTCTGATTTGGTCTATTTGGACATGTCGACCTCCTGCTTTGCTGCGGTTCGGACCGCCTTTGCCTAGAGCTCCGTGCTTTGCACTCTTGCCTTGTATGTTTTGTGTCCTGTTTTCTCACGTCAGCCTATCAGCACAGTGCTCAAACGACATAGCTTGAAGAAGACGACGGGATCTACAAACGTTCCGCAAAAGAACTTCACTGACGAAAGCGGAAGCGCTAACGAAACAACCTCCCGCTGCAAGCACCTTACATTCCTGGGACGGGAAACCACCGACGGCTGGCTGCGAAATTGCCTCTGGTTCAGATTGGTTTAGAACCGTCCCTCTGCCCAAAAGGCCACAGACGTCTGCAAAAGATTGCAGTTCTTGAAACAAAGTTACCTCTGATCCGAGCAGAAGCGTTCGCTTACTTAATGGCAGATAAAATGATGACCTTTCACACGGTCTGCATTCGTTCCGTCAGTAACAGCGGCAGGCCGGTAAAAATAAAATTCTGACATTCCACAGGGCACACTCGCTTGGCGGACAAAAGCCACCGGGGGCTC